TAACAATATTTTTAGATTCACGCTCCATTGGTGATTGTTCAGCTTCCTTGCACAGGATAATCTTGCTTTTAAAACTACGCCTAATTAACCCTGTCACGCTTCGTAAAGGATGTTCAGAATGAGTAGACATGGGGCGTTATCGAAGAGTTTGTTTGTTAAAGTTCTGCTAGATCAGTTAAATTATAGCTTCGATGTGGATTTATGTTTCCTCGGTGATTGTTCAACTTCTTCACAAAGGATATTCTTCCTTCTGAGACTAAAACAGTAATTAACCTCCCTGGATTCTTGTTGTGCTTCTTAAGGAATGTTCGGAGTGGTTCTGGAAGTTGTAGAGAACTTCATGCACTTCATGAGTGAGCACGCGAGCCTAGATCATTCCATCTGTCCAACCTATTCTTGGTATATCTACCACAATATGCTACTCGATTTTGTCAAAGATTTTTTAAACTCGATCTCCATTTGATGAAGAATCACCTGGAGGAGAGAGTACCAATCTAAATCAAAATTGAAAGACATTATCTGTCGAAGTAATTATGTGAGTTCGTGAGACGTTCATGTGTGCAGTTCCACAAGATCGGTTTAATTGTTTTGGTCGAAGCAAAGGAGTCATGGGTTTCGTAAAAACTGCACGGTTTGTCTTAGAGTTGAGATCGTCGATGCTTCGATTTGGATTTATGTTTCGTTGGCGATTGTTCAGCTTCTTTACACAGGATTCTCTTGTTTTTAAGGCCACGGCTGATTAACCTTCTCGGATTTATGTTACGCTTCGTAAGGGACGCTCGGAGCAAGTCGTTCTAGAGATTGTGGAGAACTTCATTTGTTAAGTGGGACACGTTTTACTAGATCGGTTTAATTGTCTCGCTCGCAGTAAAGGAATCGTGCCTTTGGTAAAAACTTTACGTCTTCTCTCGGAGTTCGAATAGTCGATGCTTCGATTTGAAAAAAATATTCAAAGTAAATATTGGAAAGCTTGATAATTTAACAAAATCGTGAAACTTAATCGGTGTTAGATCGGTACAATTGTTTCAGTTCAAGTGAAGACGCAATGTGTTCGGTAAAAAGTTCATGAATTATCTTAAACTTAAGGCGATCGATTAGCATTTTAGATTAGAGCATCGATTGTTCGGCTTCTTTGGGCATGGCACTCTCGCTTTTAAGATCGAAACAACGAATCAACCTTCCTGGATTCTTGTAACGCTTCGTAATGGTTGTTCTGGACACGAGCTTCGACTATTCGCATCCCAAAGTAAAGACGTAACGTGCTTCGTAAAAGCTTCACTTGTCTTACAATTCAAGTACTCGATGGATTTTAATTCTTTTTTTTAATTTGTCCCTGAATCTTTTACTTCTTCGTTCAGCAGCGAAAGTGTTTTCAACCTGTAACATGCAAATCATGTCGATTCGTTCGATCGAGCACCGTCGATGGCTGTATTCCCCGCACGGTTAAATTAAAAGTATATTCACGAAATTGTCTTTGTTCGTGCCAACGTGGTTACGCTTCTCGATAATCATCGCGGACGGTAGAGGAAATTCTTGAGGCGTGCATTCCGACACGACCGCGGTCCCAATGTTCGAGAAGACATTCGTGACAATACGTTACACGTACGGAGGACTCTTCTTCCCGCCTCGTTCCTCAGATTTGTCGATATCGAAGCTTCGACTTCGCTCCTTTGTATCCTCTCCCGCGAATTTATCGCGGCGACGCGCGTGCCGTGAAAACTATCGCGGACAAAGCAACTCCCGTCACGCGATACAGCGCTTTACGAGCCTTTTTAAACATAATTATCGTTATACTTTGAACCCTTGCATGCGCTGGGTCTAGGCTCCTTGCCTGGGGTGGTAAAGAAATAGAAGAACTTTCCTTGCTAATATCAACGGTACAAATTAAATCTCGAATGAACAAAGCTGATTGGCAAAAATAATTTATTGAACGTAACGCAACCTCTTTTGTTAAAGAATGTTATTTATGTTGAAGTTCCACGTATTCATTTATTTATTGTAAATGGGGTTAAATCCCTTTAGTGTACATATGGTATAATAGCAATTGAAACATAATACATAATATATTATTTGGATAGAATGTGTATAATTAGTTGCATCATTTTTGGAACTGATAATCAGATCAGTAACACTTTTTCTTGTTTCAAGAGATCGTGTGATAACCATAGACATAATTATGATTTGCAAATCTGAAGAAATAGTGTCGAACTCTTTTTATTTAAAAAACTTGGTACGAATGATCTGTGAGCCATCTTTTCGTGCGTGGAGGGTAGCTATGATTCTAGTAGAGTGTCGGAAGAGTCCTTTGAAAAGGAGAGGATCGACATCCTGGTGCCTTGGACGATATTAACGGACAAGAACCCGGGCCGTGAAAGCCTCGACACTCTTATTGAGCAATGATTGTCCGCGGAAGGGTTAAAAACGCGATGATGCATCGTCATTCCCAGCAACTTCCGAGCATCGCATGCACGTCCACGCGCTTCAAACAGTAACGTTCTTTCTCTCGTTTGAGCGATAACATCGTCGTGACCCTTGAAGCGGTCGGTACCAAACCTCCGCGCGCTATGGTTGACCCATCGCGGTCGCCGTTGTCTACGGGCATACATCGACGTGCCGTTCGCCGTCGTGGCGCGTCGTGATCGCACCGTTCAGGGTCACCGAAGGCTAGAACAGTGAAAGCAAGAAGAGCGTACCGCGATGAATAGAGGGAACACCAGGGTTCAACAGCCTGAATAAATATATCATAAATCATGCGTAATGCATTGTGCAAACGTTTGACTATTATTATCGCGCACTGTTTCGACGAATGGGACTGACGGAAAAGGGAATTTAATTGATTGAACACTACGACGTTGGCTGCTTGGAATGGACACGTATGATACATGTTAACGCTAGACATTTTTTAAGAGAATTGAATGAACGTGTGAGATTTGAAAAAATTGGCATTTCTTCCAAAGAATCGGATCGTCAGTGATCTTTTAAGGTCTGGGTTAGAAAGAGGAGCTTGGAATGGAAATAGAATGAAAATTCTTGCTCCCTGTCTAATCGTTGATAACTGGTAACACAGCGAGGGATCATCGACGTCATTGTACGAAACCGATACACTCGTGGGCTGGGTCTCTCGCCGCGGGACACCGGAGGCAAATTGCCCGTGTAAAAGGGAGAGAATCGAGACTGGAGAACGCCAAAGCTGGTGTGCGTGTCGGGGCCACGTCAAACCGCTCGACGTTTGACACGATAGTCACCCGACTTCCTTTTTCGAACACGCACCAAGGATGGGGAGAGAATAGCTCTGATGATAAACTACGATTTAAAAAGTCTCGTAGATCCAGAGAAATAAGATTGCAAAAAGCTTATCCTCCTTTTGCACGGCGATCTATAGAATCTCCAATCCCGTTTAACGCGTCGTGGAGATACTTTGTTTTAAGGTATCGCGAGGAAACAAGGAAAGGGACTTACGGGTGCCAAAATTATCTGTTGCTGGCGATATCTCCCTTACGGTACCCTCGACTAATAACGGTACTACGTTCGAGTCGAGTGTAAAAATCTAATGACGCAGTAAAGCGTCGTAATAGCTGACGGAAGAGCGGATCGAAACGCAAATCGCGGCGTTCCGTAGGTACGAATCCGCAAAATGGCATATCGGGGACGTTTATCCCGACGAGTGGCGAACGAAATGGTCCCGGACGCGCGTACACGCAGGGCTGATCTAAATTGAATAGACGTTTTGTGATGTAGTGCGCGACGTTACCCGCCCTGAAGGGAACCGCCCACGATAAGCTTCGCTGGCTGGATCTCCGACTTCGTTCGAGCGGTTCACATCTCCATTACCCGGGACTCCCCTTCGGGTCGTTTACGTGTTCGTGCGCATTCTGGCTCCGCGATTGACATGTTTACCGAGCCGCGAATATCATTCTTGCGGGGACTCTGGCAAATAATCAAAAACGATGATTTAAGGGGAGAGGATGCCACTGTGAAAATAAAAGCAATTTTCAAGAATTCTTTTCGAATTAACTTTGAAACTTATTCTGATAAACGTTTAATGTTTTCGAAAGTATATTTCTTGAACCACGTCTCGTGAAAATTTCGTATAAAAATATTAATTATTGTAGATATAATGGGGACCAGAGAGATTGGCGACAAATTCTATTATAGAACGAGAAATCATGCAATTTTCTTAAATTATAACACATAGGCGCGCTGTGCTTCGTGCATAGTTTGCTTGTATTGACACAAAACATAAAACTATCGCTGTCAGGAGCATGCGACGTTCGCTATCACGAGAATCAACGTGTCTATCGATTGGAATCGAGAGATACGTTTAAATACCGTCGATACATTTACGTTGGAAATCGATATCCTTGTATTAAACTACTGCAAAGATTATCTTCAAACGGTTTAAAACTTACCGGGACACGCGATTGCCTTATCGATCCCTATCGATTACATCAAGCTTGATACCTGTTTAATTGCACTGGCAACTTGTTAAAAATAAGAGGCGTAAGAATGATGCGTCGTGCATCGAGATACAGTGCTAGTCACTACACATACTTTACGATAATCGTACAAATTGTTATACGAAAAATCGCTGGTCTCTATAATGTTGGGCATAATTAATAATTCTTTAAAGTTACAATCTTACGAATCTTTCGTGCTCGACTTGAAAGAAACAAATTTAATAACTCTTTAAATTTATATTTCCATTTCAAGGTTCTCGATTCTAAAATTGTTGCTTGTGGATCCTACGAGGATCATCAGAAGGCCGCGTAACTTGTCGCTTTGCTGATTACGCTTTCACTTAGAGCCGTGATTAACGACTCGCGGTCGTTTTGGTCGATTGGTCGTTGGTATCTGATTCCCCGCGAAGTTGCTGTACGCTCTTTTCTCTTTTCCGATCTGTTCTATTTCGCTCGACCGACGAGCGAAGGGGGTTTGATCGATCGGTATCGGGACGAGGCGGATTCGACGAGGTTGTTCATCAATCGGCGTGCGTGTTTCAGCATGGAAATTCAGCGCTGCACGAAGCGTCCTGGCGCGGGTACAGCCGAACCGTGGCCGCCCTGGCGAAGGCCCTCGGGACACAACGTGCCCCTCTGCACGCGAGGAATCTCGCCGGATTCGCGCCGCTTCACCTCGCCTGCCAAAACGGGCACAACCAAAGCTGCCGCGAACTCCTCCTGGCGGGGTGCAATCCTGACCTTCAAAACAACGTGAGTAATAGGCCAACGTACCATGGCGCCCGGAGAACTGTACGCGTACGTTGCACTTAAGGGGGCACTCTCGCTTCTCGGGTCAATATTTGGGTCAAACTTCTTTTACGAACGAATACCAAACACACGAAGTTAAACTTTTATAGATTTGTTCGTTGCTTCTTTCTGTACTGCATAACTCGAAAAATTGCTAAGACTTTTACTCTACGCTGTCGTCTAACAAAATAATCGATTTTCTCATCCTAAAAACGAGAATACCCTTGCAAGAGGGTACACTTAATTAATTGCAATGGAACGACATGCTTAAATGTAAAGTACAATCTTAGAACGACGTTTCAAACTTCTTTTTGCAGTATGGAGATACGCCTCTTCACACATCAGCACGATATGGACACGCTGGTGTCACCCGCATCCTAATATCTGCTCTCTGTCGAGTATCGGATCAGAATAAAGTAAGTTACTGTTTGCAACGAACATCATTTTCATCGACTCGTGCAATAGAGTACGACTAAACATCGGCATAAGTAGAAATAGCAAGTAATGGACAGACGCGCCAGGCGCCAAGTCCCAACTCGATTCTTTTACTCGTAGAATTCACGTTGTCGATGATTCTGTGTCTTACACGCTTGCACAAAGATATAATTTTCTTTGGACTACATATGGGACTGGTTATTAAAATATCCCAACGCAGACCAGAAAAAGATCGACCATAACGATTACTACAAACTACAGATCATATACGCGTTGTAACACCAGTTCATTTTATTCACTAGTTGTAAGATATTATAAATAGTTACGTTTCTTTATAAATAATCCTGTCCATTCCTGCCTTAAAAAAATTGCGAATAACTGGACGGTACACTACCATTTTTGAACATATTATTTAAGAATCAAGCGTGATTGTTCGATCGATTCACCCACGGTACACGCAAGAATCCCGATTAACGATCGTTTCTGAACGCAGAACGGCGACACGGCGTTGCACATCGCGGCGGCGATGGGTCGTCGAAAACTGACGAGGATCCTGCTGGAGGCAGGCTGCGACCGTAGTCTGCGTAACAAGCAAGGCGAGACCGCGAAGGACATAGCCAGACGCAAGAACCTGACGGAGATACTGGAGATAATCGGGAAAGCGCGAAGCAAGAGCAGAACGCGTAGCAAGAGCCGGGAGGAGGACGTAGCGGCACCCGGGTCCGCGACGGTCGTCGTCGCCGCGGACAAGGTCGACGGGAAGAGCAACAAGAGCGAGAAGAAGCGAGAGAAGACTGGTAGTGGTACCAGCGGCAGCAGGGACAGTTGCACGAAGAAGGAGAAAAAGAAGCACAAATCGTCCGACAAGCAGAACAAGGTCCACTTCGAGAAGGCCGTGATGGGTAGACAGTGGTCGCCGTACGGCTGCCACTATTATCCCGATCCGGAAGCGTTTCCCCAGCCGCGTTTGGACTCGCTGCCGCCGGATCCGCTGGGCCGTGGCGAGCAGTACTACCTGGACCTGGCTGGAAACATCAGAAAAGGACCGGTGGGTGTGGGTTACACCTGCTACTGCGCCCCGTTCTTCAGGCACATGGAGGCCAAGCTGGAGAGGGACAAGGCCGAATTGAAGGCCCACATCGATCAGGCCCACGAGAGGCTGGACCTGAAGGTGGCCAATCTCGAGAGGCGAACCAGGGGACAGATCTCGGAGCTGACCAGATGCGTGGCGGCGGAGAGGTCCAGGTGCGACGAGAGGCACACGCACCTACAGCAACGTCTGGCGCGCGGCGGCAGAGGCAGGCACAGCGAACGACCGGCCAAGGCGACGTTCGCCAGCGATCAGCCGTTCCCACCGGCCCGCGCCAGGTCCTTGGAGGATTTGCTGGACGACAGACCGCACGACAGGAGCTTCGAGATCCCGGGCGAGACGCCTATACACCGCGGCAGCCTGGACGATCTCGACATACCGGCCATACCGAGGCTGAGCAAATCCATGAGGGACCTACCGTCCGGTTCCGGTGTCTCGAGGTCAACGCTGAGGGTGCTCGACGTGCCTGCCAGGCTGAACGAGACGTTCGACGGGGTGATCAAGCAGGATCGCAGCTCGCCCCTCGGGGCAGCCTCCTCGCCGTCGATAGGGTCCAGGCAACAGGTCCATCAGCAACGCGTGAGTGTGTAATCCAGGGGTTCTTTTGTTAGTTTGCAACAGTGTTGATTATGCCCCGGGCTTTAATGGCACCCTTGCACGCTGTACGGCGCGTTGGTAATTGCGTTTCGACCATTTCGTATCGAATCGATCACTTTGCTACATCGAGGTCTGGGCTTTTTATTTATTTTTGGGTATCCCATTGTATATAACGATAGAGAGACGTAGGTATAAAATATATGTGTATATAACATATACGGGGAACAATTTTCATGGTTTTCACAAGATTTTTATATCGATAAGATTGTCCGCGCGTTAATTTTGCTCGAAATTCAGAGAAGTTGCGATGATAAATTGCCCAGGATCTTTCGTCTCGGGATCTGATGAACTCCTGCCAAGAGGAGAGTAACGCGACGCGGAAGAACGACGAGAACTCGAACGAATGGAGATCGTCCGGGCGACGCAGCGTTCACGAAATGATCAAGAGATTTCAACAAGTACCTGGCATGCATAACGGTTGGCGAGGTACGCGTTCGGGAAGCAGCGAGCCGACCAGCCCCGAGCACAGTCAGTGTTCCCAAAATCAAAGGGTTCAGCCGCAGGGCGGCGTAGGAAACGGTTGGCACGGCGAAGGTAAAACTACTTTACCAGGTGCAAGTCCCCGAGAAATAAGAATTGACCTGATAAAAGAATCACTTCAATTTATCTTGCGGTACAAGAGTTGGTCAAGTCGGTAGAGGCGATTAACTACCAAGCTTTTGGTAGTGGGTTCGAATCCCCGTCAAATTTGTTTCTTTTATTATTTTTAAATGTACAAATATATTTTTACCATTAAATGTTTAGCCAAGATAAAGCGAAGAAATAATAAACACGTATGAGAATATTCTCGTCGATGAAAATCAATTTCATCGTTGGTCGCTTGATAACTTTCGAGAACCTTTTCTGAAATTATCGTGTTCGACATAGGTAACGACAGTGAGAGTAGCGAGGGAGACGACGACGAGCAACCGGAAGCACTTAGCGGAGGGATCTCTGGGAAAGGAGTGATATCGGAGCACGTACATTACGGCAGCATAGCCAGAATGCCATATAGGTCCCGTAATGCGGTTTATAGCCCGACACCGCCTTTGCATGATGCGCACAATGATTCAGGATACAGTACCCGCATGTATGGTTCCAGTAAAGGTGCTTCACCTTCGTTATCAGGTACAAATACTAAGTTTTTATTCGTATCGACAGTACTTTCCGCCATACTACTAAACATCCAACTATCGTATTCCTCAAACTATCATTTTGTAAAGATAAAAATGTCCCTATATTTCTATCTTCTTTTGATCTGAAACTTTTAATTTTCAGAGTTACACCTAATCTCCATGTTGTTTTATAATTTGTTTTTTTAGACCTTTCCTGTTTGCATTATATTTTCAGACATAGCAGATACAATTAAATGAAAATTAATTTCATTTTGATTGTATACCTCGTTCAACGTGAATAGGCAACGTCTGTCTTTATTTGTCGACTGTGACATACATATACGTTGTATATTTTTAGACGTTTATTTATATTTCCCGCCAATTGTCGTTGAACTGGGTACAGTAGTTTTGCAAAAGAGTACTATTACCTTCCAGGTCAATTGGAATGCGACGTGATTCTTCCAACCACACCAAACACGTTTCCCAGCGGCGAACAACTGGCTGCACTGTTAGAACAACCCAGGAACCATGATCTCACGGTCTACGAACGCGGTGCCGACAACGTTGTCATTAACATCGGAACCGCGAGTCTCGTTTAAGAGATACTTCCAAAGACATCGACTTTACTTGATTCCACGATACCTACTCAGGTGTTTATACAGTATGTTCGGCCATCCCTGGGAAAAATTTTAATGGGAGATTCTAGAGGCCAAAATAAGACGAAAACCAAGAATACCAATTTGTTGATCGAGGCTTCGTTAAAAAGTTATTAACGTTTCAATCTGCGTACAGTTGCGTGCTAGTGGTTCTCACTCTTACCGACTCATCGACACCCTTACAGTGCTCTGAATGAGAACCACTATCGCGTGCACGCAGCCGTTCTACAGGCGGAACTTTAAACGTTAATAACTTTTTAACGAAGTCTCGATGAAGAAATTGGCATTCTTGATTTTCGTCTTATTTCGTCCTCCAGAATCTCGCATTAAAATTATTTTCCCAGAGGTGGCCGAACACCCTGTATAATAACATAAATATCATGTACAAATCAAACTTGTTTATACCGTTAGAGGATAATCTTGTACAAAATTATTTTTATTTCAACGATCGAAGCGTTTTGTAAATAGTTAACGGTGAAACATAAAGATTATCGAATATACGAATAAACGTGTTACGGACCTACGTATAAATTGCCATGTACTACAACATTAGGTTAGATCGTATCTATTTATTACACATATACGTGTACTATAATACGTACATGTTTGTTTTCGGAATGTTATCACTTTACTAGCAAACATCCCCGATTTAGTTTCGTACGATTAGATTTTATATGTTTTTATTTCCAAAATTAAATACGTTGTACAACGATAGATGGAATTAAATGAGAGATGGAAACTTAGCTACTAAAGTACTGTTTTATTTATAATATTGCGGACGATTCGTATTGTGTTATCGACGAGTGATACAAAGGTATGCCTATTAAGGAGTTCATGTTAGAGTTCTGAATTTCTACTACGACGAAATCGCCATTCTTTATCGGTCTCTTTACATCGGAATATTTGTCAGCAGGTATGTCCATAGTCGGAATTATTACTCTTGTATTACCGTCGTTCCTTCCTAGAAGATTCTTGCTCGATCGCCTGGTAACCTAAGATTAAAATCAAAAATAGATCGATTTTAAAATTGTTTTAATTATTATACCATTTACTACTATTACCGTTATAATACAGTTTTATTATTATAAATTATAAAATCGTCTTACTCCTTCTACAAGTACAAGTTGCAGCTGCCCGATCTGTAATTCATTCAATTCCTCCGCAATACGCTTATGCGTTGATATTAGCCTTTGAAGTCGTTCTTGTTTTACACTTGGTTCTACATCGTCCTTATAGCGACGATGTGCGGTAGTTCTCTGGAAATAATAAAACATTTCGTAGCGATAAATACTTCGCCTTATAATATAATGTAACCTACGATTAACGTCGAATATCGATTAAAGGATAAATGTATATAAATATAAATTACCTCCCGCATGCTGTACGCAAATACGAATGCTTTGTTGTGTTTTACTAATTCCATCAGCGATAATGTATCTTGGAATTCTTCCTCGGTTTCGCCGCAGAATCCAGCAATAAAATCACTGGAGAAAGATATGTCTGGCACGATGTCGCGTATATGATGCACCAAGTCCAGATACGCCTCTCTCGTATATCCCCTCCTCATTCTTTCCAAAACGGCAGAGTTACCGCTTTGTACGGGTAAATGAATCCTCTTGCAAATATTCGGCCTCTCGGCTATCAATTGTAAAACTTCGTCGGGAAAGTCTTTAGGATGCGGTGACGTGAATCTAGAAATTATTTACAATATTTCGCACAATGATGTACGTGAAGTGCCGTGATAGTATATTCAGTACCTTATCCTCATTTCTGGATCGACGCGAGAAACATTGTCCAACAGGTCGCTAAACCTTCGACCCCCTGTTTTATTTTTATATACAGTTTTGAAACCTTTGACGAGGTTAGTTTCAACATTACTGGCCGTATAAAATTCGGACTGTGACGTGTCTCTGTAACTGTTCACGTTTTGTCCAAGTAATGTTACCTCCTTTACACCATTATCGGACAAGGTTTGAATCTCTTTGACTATACTATCGATCGGTCGCGATCTTTCTCTTCCTCGTGTAAATGGTACGATGCAGTATGTGCACATATTATCACAACCCCGCATTATTGAACTAGTAAAATGATCGAAGAATGTTTTAATAACAAAAATTGCGAGTTATGTTGCAAAATATATATTATTCGAGTTCATGGCTTCCGGATAAACGCGGTATCTATGTTCGGAAGCCATGAACTCGAGCATAAACTCATACTCATGAATAAGGATACATTACACAAATGCACTGGTGGAGTCTGGGTTTAACCGTACTGGTGTAACATCTGCATACGTTTCATCAAACGATAGAACAACATTAATAGCAGTTTCATTATCCGGTACACATAGAAGTCTTGGTAGATCCTTATAACTGTCCGGACCAGCTATCACATCAACGAGTCGTCCTCTTTCCAGAATTTTGTCTTTCAACCTTTCTGCCATACAACCTGATGTAACGAATAAATGCATTATTAAATCAATGTATCGTGTAATTTATAAACTGTCGATATTCACAGTAGTACCTAATAAGCCAATTTTCAGTTTAGGCTTTATTTTTCTTTTCCAACTATTTAACTCCGATAACTTATGCCATACTTTCTGTTCCGCATTATCCCTAATGGAACATGTAACGAGTAGGATTATATCAGCTTCTGTTATATTTTCTACTTTCTTGTAGCCGTGTGATTTTAATATAGACCAGACCACTTCTGTGTCATTAACGTTCATTTGACAACCGTACACTTTGAAGTAGACTGAAATAAGAATCAAAGCACTTACGCAGACTTCAAATTTAAATAGATATTTACTGCTTACAGACAACATATATAACTTCTTACCATTTTGATTGCGTGCGTCGATATCCTTTACATAAGGAATGCATGGAGCACTAATAGAATCATTAGGAACTACAGATTCGCCCAGTATAAAATCCTTTAATGATGGCCCATTCTGTGACAGCTCTTTTAATTGTTTTAGGTTAGTTATAGGTCTTTGATTAATCTCTTTAATAACCTCAAATTGAATAGCAGTCGCATGTAATGTTCGATAACATGAATAACGGTGAAGCACACTTTTACATTGGGTGAAAGATGTTTTAATAAACCATTTTCGCATCATGTTATATGTTTTAAAAAGCTTGATTTATTTTGATGAACATAACCCAAATTCTAATCTTCACAGGTTACATACATTTCAAATAGGAGGGTGTGGTATTTCTACTGTAGTGCTGTGTACTTTTATTCGAGGTAGTTGCAATGAACGCAAAATTAATACAAAAATACTTTTATTTATATTATTTTCTTCAAAACATACGTCAAAATTTTACAGATACTTGATCTTTTCTTCTACATAATTACATAGAGACATTATGTATATAAATAGGTCATGTATAACGAAATAATATACTACTGAATTCTTAGTAGACAGTATTTAATGAAATCTTCAGTTATTATACACAAATCGATCTAAACATTTCCTTAATATTTCGAACAGATGACTTATTCTAAGAGAGTAAGAAAGGGAATATGAAATTACATTTTTTTTTATGTATGTTTTATTGATGCGTATTATTACAAAAATTTAATAGCACATTATTTAATGATGAGCAGCAGCTTTCCTCATTTGTACAAGTATGTTTCCAAGTTCTTCACGTTTCCTCTTAGCTCTAATGTGTGTGCCCAACTATAATATCGTTAAACATGTTGTTTATATAAATTTACTTTCAAACGAATGGAATTTGTTTATATACTTACCCTCCTTTTCAAGAATTTCAATGCCCGCTTATCCTTGGATACTTTTAACAATTCCATAGCACGCTTTTCGTACGGTGCGTGTCCAGTTACTTCGCGGATCAGATCTCTAACAAACTTACTATGTTTAGTTTGTCTCTGAAAGTATGAAATCGTGAAGATTAAACTTTAACGTTTGACACCATAATTTCAAATGAAATCTCTCTTAAATACATAATTTTGTTATTAGCATAGCAAGCGATATATTTGTGAGGTTATACTCGGTCAAAAAACAGAAGGTACCCTAACTTATTGATAACATATAATGCTTACTCCTTTGAATCTAGCTGTTAAAACGCATACGGTCTTTTCCTTGTCCTTTTTATTTTTCGCCACACGGATTTTGGTCGTTTTGTGGCCTTTATTAAGACCTACCGCTATTTCGGCCCTTGGATCCATTCTGAAAAAATAACAGTGTCTTTCACAGGTTATGTTACTAAATGTAAAGCGCATACGGCACGGTAATACTATGCGCGTCAAATTGTCATTATTTATAAGAGCATATATAATTGCAAAAATATAATTGTTTCATCCGGATCGTAAGAATATTTAACGATTCAATTTGACAACGAACCTTCGCGGCTTGAATACGTTCACAGAAGGAATACGATCTCGTTTTCAATAGAAATCTTTCGTCCGAACTTTGCGCGCGTGCTCAATAGAAGTAACGTATCCGATTTACAACGAAAGCGATAAAGCACAGTCAACTCAACGGCCAGTGATGGCAGACTGAGCACCGGGTGCACTACTCACCATGCCAGATCACGCGTACGTGAGCTCGTGGGCAAACTGACGCATGCCCTCTCTCTCGATTCTCCGAAGCTGCCCGAAGTATTTTCGGACCGCCTCGTGGGAGTCGAGAGAGGAAGGCTCACATTTGCCTTCTCGCTCTTGGACAACTGAAATTCGATCTCACGTCGACGGCATACGATTCCAAGTCTCGACTGGCCGGGTAGTTTTTATTTTCTGACCGATGTATGTAGACGAACATAAGCAAGATATTATAATGAAAATAATTTTGTGAAATTTTTCTTACGGAAATACACGTTTTAAGACACGTTTTAAGACCCTGTTCATATTTGAATTATTGAAAAAAAATAAATTCATTCTTATTATTCCTATATATGTATGAGCGTAGATATGTATATCATTTCAGATATCACTTCTGCTACATCTGGCAACGTATAACCATTACTGCTGGCTACTGCCAGCCTCTCGCAGCCTCTGCTGGCTTCTGCTGGCTTCTGCCTGCCTCTGCTGGCCCCTGCTGACCCCTGCTGACCACACCTGATACTTCCGACAACGTATAACGATTACTACTGGTTACTGCCAGCTTCTCCCAGCCTCTGTTGGCCTCTCCTGACCTCCACTTATATTTCTGACGACGTATAACAATTACGACTGATTTCTGCCAACCTCCGCTGACCACTGCTGACCACCACCGTTGCTTCCGACAACGTGTGATCATTACAACTTGCCACTGCTTGCCCCTGCTGGTCTCTGCTTGCCTCTGCAAGCCTCTGCTGTCCCCTACTGACCCCTACTGACCCCTACTGACCCCTACTGACCCCTACTGACCCCTGCTGACCCCTGCTGACCCTTGTTAACAACTTCTGCCATGATATATATGTATTAAAACATTGTATAATGTAAATCTATGGCAATAAATGATATAATTACAAAGAATACTATGTGTTCTCATCATTTCTACCTTTCTTTCCCTCTCCAAATCATTACCTTAGTTATAAGACTCCCTGAAACTCCTTGGCTTCCACTAGGAAGTTCTAAAACACCTCGGAAGTTCTGAAAATCAGAACTTTGCTAAAAATTCAGAGTTCCCAAGAATTTTCGGTGTTTCCAAGAAATTTTCAAGAAATTCCAAGACTTCCCAGCTGTTTCAGGACTTTCCAGCTGTTTCAGGCCTTTCCAGCTGTTTCAGGACTTTCCAATTGTTTCAGGGCTTTCCAATTTTTCGGGATTCCCAAAATTAAAAGTCGTTTCAGGACTTTCCAATTGTTTCAGGGCTTTCCAATTTTTCGGGATTCCCAAAATTAAAAGTCGTTTCAGGGTTTCCAGCTGTTTCAGGACTTTCCAATTTTTCGGGATTCCCAAAATTAAAGCCGTTTCAGGGGTTTCCAGCTGTTTCAGGACTTTCCAATTTTCGGGATTCCCAAAATTAAAAGTCGTTTCAGGGGTTTCCAGCTGTTTCAGGGCTTTCCAATTGTTTCAGGACTTTCCAATTGTTTCAGGACTCTTAATTTTTGATTTTGGCAGCAAGTACGAGAGCTGGACACTTTGGGTATCCAATTTTAAACGGAAAAACGGTCTCTTAAAACTAAGGGAATGATTTGGAGAGGAAAAGAAAGGTAAAAATGATGAGAACAAATAGAATTCTGTTAAATTATATCATTTATTGTCATAGATTTACATTATACAAGGCTCGAATACTTATACATCATGTCAGAAGTTGATAACAGAGGTCAGCAGTGGTCAGCAGTGGTCAGCAGTGGTCAGCAGTGGTCGGCAGGGGCTAACAAAGGCCAGCAGAGGGATGCAGAGGCATGCAGAGACCAGCAGTGACAAGTAGTAATAGTTATACGTTGTCAGAAGCATCAGGGATGGTCAGCAGAGGACTGTGGAGGCTAGCCGTGGACAGCAAAGTCCAGCAGTGACAAGCAGCGGCAAGCAGTAGCCAGTCGTAATCGTTATACGTTGTCAGAAATACCAGGAAAGGTCAGCAGCGGTCAGCAGAGGCCAACGGAGGTTGGCAGAAGTCAGTAGTAATCGTTATACGTTGTCAGAAATATAAGCGGTGGTCAGCAGAGGCCAGCGTGATCTGGCATGTGTGAGTAGGGCACCGTCGATGATTTTCTGGCACCTCTGATTGGAGTTTACTTTAGTTCTTTGCTCGTATGATGGTGGTACTATACATTGTTAAAGCTTATTATTACTATGACGTGATGCTCCCTGTGCATAAGTTAAAGTGTGACCCCATCGGTGGTACATGATTTGCACAGGCATCCACGGCAGAACGCCAAGTTTGTCATGGGATAGTTCGTTATCTTCAACGATAGATGGGCGCTTATTTATCGACCTGTGGCGACAGGTGCGTTTTTTGTCGTGAGGTTGTGCTCCACGTTACCGATTAAAGGGTTGAAGTTAGGGTTGTTATATGAGAAAAAATTAATGTTAATGTGTTTGTTTTATTGCTAGGAGACGGCTAGGAGTTTGTTTAACAGATATAAGAATAAACTCGGAGTTCTCCATATCTTCAAAAGAGTCGTACATATTTTCTACGAACTATTCGACGACAAACTTGGGCGTTTTAGCACCAGGGGGTTTCAGGTCGGGAAATAAGCGCCATCTAGCGTTGAAGGTAGCGAACTAATCCACGACAAACTTGGGCGTTTTGTCCTAAATGACGTTGTAAATTGTTATATGTTTCCCCGCCGATTTGAATTTATAATTCGTTATCTATCTAAGATTAAATTATTATCTATTAATCATATCTTAATGTATATTGAAATACATTCTAATAAGGGTAAACAATATCTTTTGTATATTATATGAATGGCATACAAGTATGTATTAAGCGGAACGATATGCATCTAATAAGATAATCTGTTATTAGTATTGGTCCAAAACGTTACTTGACACTGTCAACAGCTGAGAGTTGCTTCATTATATAAATATATTCATTTAGAAAACTGCAATAACATTCAATTAGTCGCGATACGCAAACTTCGTATAGTTCAGCGTGTTCGTTTCAGTAGTAGGAAACGTGAACATTAACGCTAATTCAGCCTAATGATCAGCAAGCTAACAAGAATATGCTGAACGTGGCGTCTGCACTTTCATAATTACACGAGCCCCTTCAACGACGTTATTATACCACGATTTCTTTGTTATTAGCACGAAATTTAATCGTGTTCAAAGAAAAATCTTTTTCAGTACGAAACTGTGCAATTCTGCCATCTGCATAATCGATTCGATGTTTATACGACTGACACATCATCCCCCATTTATTTCCACCAGTCTGTATAGTAAATTCATTACTGAATATATGTAAATGAATTCACAAATATATAATGATAAATCTAATTACATATCCAACTGATTAATATATGTAATATAATTATTGAACGCGTTGTTGCCTTTATGTTTCATAATAAATTAATAGGAGGCGTTTCGAGCATCGAAAAAAGCTTCGGGTTAACGAAATTTCTTAAAAAAATTAATTATTCGATATTTGATCGATTCACATTAATGCATTATTTGTTCGTGGCGACGATCAAGGCTGAGCGGACGTGGGGACGTCGCGAAACTAAGTTCACCTGCAGTTAGTTCTGCTTACGCGAACCAACATTCTCCTGTCCGCCTGTAACGCATAGTTAGAATGCAAGTTATCGTCTCGCGCGTACCCCGTCAACGATGCAGTTGAATTTCTAATCTGCTTTCAGCGACCATCCTTGCATTGGGAACGATATTTAGCAAAAACACATTACGATGTTCAACAGAGTGATTTTTATATTTAAAACACATATACATATATTTAAATCAATCATTCTGCTGCGTAACAGACATCAGTTTATCGAAATCTGAGTAGAAATGAATCCGACTTCGGTGCACTTTCTCTGCAGCTGGGATCTTCATTGGTAAAAGATTTCGATACGTTCGTTTCGCGAAATGGAATAAAAATGTCCACGTAAAAATCGAATTTGTTTCAACCCGGTGGCGCTTTCGCGTTGCGTCACGCGTATCCCGAAATAAAGGATGATCCATCGACGCGACGTGAAGATCTAACGCTTGGTTACGCGTGGCTGGTGGTTCGATGTATAAAAAAAAAGCGTATCGGGCAGACCAAAACATTCAGAATGGCTCGATCGAACGGAACATCGGTAAGAGAACTTTTTCAAATTGTTCACAGGTCCATAAACAGCAGGCGTGTTTGTAACTAAAAGAGAAGGATACGTATTTGGGGTAGGGGTTGGGTTCATAGGACCATAGATGCATTACATGCTCGAGATGACGCCTAAGAGAGGCGGTGGCGTGTTCCCTTGGTTCAGCTTCCGCAAACCACCGCCGTTCATCCTGCATTATACTTGGCCCAAAAAGTTTCCGCGTTTTTTGTACTCGTCCAGTGGCGCGAACGCGAATTTAGACGCCTCAGGATTCCGGGACTTCGATTTAACTGAATTTCACCTTTTACGCTGAGACAGGACACAAGGGGAGGCTTTTCAGACGCTCCAAACCACCCCACGATCAACCAACAAAATCTCTGTCGTTTCGAGCAATGTAGTAAACATTAAACCAGCATCACAAATTCGATATTTCTATTTCTATTTTCCAGTGGGAGGTTGTAGATCATTGTTTCTGTTAAGCTCGATAGTATTGCAGACGTTGAATAGTTTCTAGGTGTATTTTAGAGGTGTTAGTTGTATCTTTTGACCGAAGAAAGTTGACTTTTGTTACATTTTCTGCAAGTGTACGGTGTTTGGAAGTAATACCGTGGTCCTAAGAACTTGCCCGAAGACGATTTTTCCCCCCTCTCTATTATTTTAGCAACTACGACTATCGATCACGTTACGAGCGTCAAACGAGCGTTACGGAATGCCTGTAAGGAGTCTGCAAACTTTTGACGACTTCGTGAAACTTCACTGCACCGTGGCTTAATCCGTTTCCGCGGTGCCTAAAGCAGGCACGATCGTGGATGCGCCA